CTCGTGAAAAAGATTTAAAATTTCCTTCCTTAAACTGTTTGGAATTATAACTTTATATCCCATATATTAGCAAACAATTGTGTTCTATTGATATATAATGTCTTTTTTGAAAATACGGCTTTATATTAACATCTTCTGTATAATTTGCCCAACCAGATGCTGTAAAATCTAGAACTTTTAATAATACTAAGTCTTGTTTTGTTTCTTTTGCGATATCATTAGCATCTAACGGTATCTCCCTAATCGCATTAAAAGAATAGATAAAATTTGTAATACCCGTTTCATTTTGCATTGGTAGACGAGAAAGACCATCTGCATTTGCTACCAATTTCCCTTTTTTATATTCAATTTCGTACTCATATGCTGATAACGTTAAAGCCCAGCGTGTGATTCGAGCTGCTGCGGTAGCTGGAATCGCTTTATTTTTACTAAATATGTACTGTAACGGTTGATGGTCTGTTACTAGCGTGAATTTACGACCAAATATGAATTTATGAAATTTCCTTATCCCAAATATTAAAGCTAAGGCCTCCCTTTCTAAGTTTGAGTATTTCTGTTCAGTTGGAGATAACGTACTAGACGCAAACATTACAGGCTTATCCTCTCCATTTATTCTATGGCTTAATACTGCGCCTACCCCATAACCACTTGCATCGCATGTTATATAAATAGGTACTCTAGGATCATAATGTGTTAAAACATTATTTGATATAAGTAGATTTTTACTTAATTGAAATATTTTTTCGCATTCTTCCGTCCATTGAAATTTAGTTCCCAGCTTACACAATTCATACAATAGTTTTAACACAGAAGATAACATTGGTATAAACTTATTATAGTAATTAAGTAACCCTAGATATGACTTTAATTGTGTTACATTTTGTGGTGACGGCGCTTTTTTTATGCATTCTACTTTATCTTTGGTAGGGTGAACACCCTCCACGTCAATATTATGACCTAAAAATTCCACACTTTCTTTATAAAATTTACATTTTTTTTCATTTACTCTAACATTATATTTTTCCAAACGGGACATAACTTTTTGTACATTTTGATGACACTCTTCTAACGTTGCTCCGTATACCAGGATATCATCCAGATAACATTTTGTGTTAGATAAACCCGCTAGAATAGTTTCCATGATTGTCTGGAAAATACCCGGTGCCGAACTAACTCCATAAGTTAATCTATTATAACGAAAAAGACCCATATGAGTGTTTATAGTAAAGAGTTCCTTAGAGTATTCGCTTATTTCTAATTGTTGGTAGGCTCCCTGTAGATCAATTACCGTGAAGTATTTATTTCCACTTAAACACGCGAAAATATCAGTTGGTAATGGTAAGACACAATGATCACTTTCAATAACTTTGTTCAATGTCTTTTTAAAATCAACACAGATTCGGATATCACTAGAATTTTTTTTTGGAACTATTACAATAGGGCTTGCCCATTTACTATGATTTACCTTAGATAATATACCTGCTTTGATTAGTTTTGACAATTCTAACTCAACTTTAGATCTGAGACTAAACGGCATTTCATATGCGCAATGAAATATAGGCTTTACATCCGATTTCAATTGAATATCAACTTTAAAGTCCTTGATACATGAGCCTGAGTCTGAAAATACCTTAGAGAACTTTTGTTTGATAACCTCAATACATTTTTTTATTTGCTCCAAATTCTCCGTTCTTATTTCCTTAATGCTACCAACTTTCGACTCGACTTGGTTGGAGATGAGTTCTTTCCAATGCGGGTTTACAATATCTAACCAATTTCGACCTAACAGTGGTACAAATCTTGTTGAACTCTCTAAGACAATCAATGGTAAAATATATTTTTTGTTTAGATAATCAATGTTAACTAAAATTTGACCTACAATTTTAACATGTTCCCCTGTGACTACTTTTAACTTAAAATGTACCGATTCCAAATGAATATTTTTAAACTTTTCATTGTAATCATCGACATGGATTACAGACTTACATGCTCCCGAATCTATTTCCATATATACTAATTTATTTTCAATATTTATCTCAACTTTCAAGCTGCTATTTTTAAACTCACCAATTCGATTAATAGATATTAATCCCAATTCAAGAGTATCATCCTCCTCCTCTTGACTTTTTTTATCCTCGACAGTTTCTATATTATGGACTTTATTTTTACACATGTCTGACTTAGCTGTATGACCTATTTGACTACATACAAAGCATCTCCAATTTATGGCCGGATATTTGCTATAATCGTGGTGGCTTTTTGTACATTGTTTACACTCCTTCCTAACTGGTAACGTTTTATTTCTTGATTGTTAACTTGTTTGGCCGTCGTTCGACTGTTGACTTTCTTGATTGTAGTTTGATCGTTTAATTGGCTTATTTTGAGTACGCTCATCTAGTGCTTTTCCATAATTCCTGTTCTTGAAATCTAGTCGGTTGACTCGTAGGCTCCCTTCAGGCATCATGACTCTTGTTTGATGTTCTGCAAGCTCCATTCCTATGGCTATTTCACAGGCCTTCTCAAAAGTTAGTTTATCTTCTGTTAACAATCTTTGTTTGATTCGTTCTGATTTTAAACCACAGACAAACCTGTCCCTTAATGCTTCTTCCAAGAATCTTCCAAACTCACAATATTTTGATATATTCTTTAGTCTAGTTTGATACGTTCTAATATTCGTTACTATCTTGACTTCGTTACTATCTTGACTTGTATTATAAAATTTGTAACGTTCTGCTATCACCAGTTTTTTAGGACTATAATGATTTGATAATATGATTTTTAATTCACGATACGTCTTTGCACTGGGAGATTCTGGTGATAAAAGATCTTTTAAAACGCTATAGGCTTCTCCTCCTAATAATGTTAGGAATAGTGCTACTTTTCTTCCTTCTTCTATATTATTGCAGATAAAGAGTTGTTCTACTATTTCAATGTATGTTATTATATCAGACTACGAATTAAACGGTTCAATGTTTCCGATTAGAGCCATTGTTGAGTTTCTTGTATAAAATATTTCGTACTTGTGTTATGTATGTTGACTTAACCTCAATTTGAACTTATGTGTTCTGCACGGTGGTTTTCCGGACTCGTCGCCAAATATGTTATATCTGGTACCACGTGTACCGGTTTAATAATTGACTCAACAGTCTTACTTTAATAGTGTTTCTTTATTAACCTATAAAGACTTTTACTTTTGACGATGTCGTTAACGTGCACAATTGAATTAACAATCACCATCATGGCCGCTCGCTCTCCTAAAGCTCGCTTTACATTTTTATGCTTAAGACTAGTTCGCATGGTCGTTATCTTAATACACAACAACTAGGACTCCATTTTTCTTTCAGGATCCTTGAGTCAAATTGGCTCGAAATAGGAAAATGCATTACTGTGAGTGCTTATTATGACGAACCGAATATCCACACCATTTTAAAATTCCCTCTAATTTCTCATCCAAAATATGATATACTCAAGGTCATACCATTACCCACCCGACCACGATAATATATTTACTCTAACTGAAGTAGATCAGACTATAATAACAATAAATAACGAAAATCAACACTATATGACATTAACACACGACGACTTAAATGTAAGATGTGAACAAATCGATTATACTTATAACACACCAATCCTATATACCACGAAAACACCAATTTATTATGTGAAGTTCAAATGTACGTACAAAATTCTAATTCTAAGATACTATGTAATATACGATACATTAAGTCAAATCACTCCATATGGATAGTCCTCGGAAATCAACGAACGTGGCTATACTTCACCGCTAATGAACAAACAATTACGATAGACTGTAAAAATCGCGAGGAGTATAGAACAAGAATCATAAAAACGTGACAAATTACGCTATATGGAGAATGTAAATTAACAACTGCGGATATGACTGTAAAAACCATAGGAACCATCAAAGCCGCAACCATTCAAATGCGCTTACCAGAATACAATTTAACTCGTTTGCGAAATCAGTTAGAACATAAGGAGTTAAATCAACCAGAAGTAGTAAAATTGAGGAAAATTATTCGCAACCCGACGGAATTAATGGACCTAAGCACCAAGCTGCAAGACCTAACAACCAAATTATAAAACGCACAAGATTCATTAATTCTATCGGAACCTATTGTATATACACTTTCGGGTAGTACTATTATCTTAATTATTGTAATTATTGTAATAATTGTATATATTGTTAAAAAACACCAAAGTCGCGGGACGAATGTAACAAATCCCGCGTAGAGAAAAAAAAGAAAAGCAGATATCTTCACAGAAAACGTCAAACCTCCGTTTTCTTTTTTCAACGGGGGAAGGATGTTATGACACAATTAGGTCATACCTAAAATCTGCATCTTTTCTGCAGACTAGCAGTTAAAATCATTACAAAATCAAGTCATCTACTTTGGACCACAAAAGAGGTGACATACATTAATTTAATGCAACTACGTATAAATTCGGCCTAATTAGTGAATATAAATACGTAAGCCTCGAGCATTTCGGGGCCGTTTCGAAAAGTTAAATAAGAGTACGACTACTATGAGAATCTCCGCTACTGCGAGACACCATTATACTGTAAAGTACATAGAACTCGTAAGTGACAATAAAACTTCTTATACCACGAACGCTGGCCTATATTAATTGGAGGACCTCGAGCCCTCACTAAACGACACCACCATGTCCAATCTATGATTCCGCCATGCCCTGAGCAGCACGTCGTACCTGGACAGGACGACTGGTAACCGGCTGATCGTTAAATTCTATAAACTGTGCCCGGAGCGGCACCCTTGCACCCTGAGCGGTACAACAGGTTAAATTCCCTTTTTTTTATCAAAAAAAAACATTTATTGTAACGTTTGAAGAAACATTTTTTTAGCGTTTGAAAAATGTTTATTTAATGTTTGAAGAAGAAACATTGCTTTAACATTAAAAACACATTTAAATGTTAAAATTATTTCAACAAAATTAGAAAAAATAACGTGTAGAATTTTTGTTATTTATTTTTTTTCGACAGTGTCTAAACATTAAATTACTAATTTTATTAATTAATTCTAATTTTTAATTATATTTTAATTTTTTTCACCAGCCGGGTTTTGAACATGGGACCTCAGGGTTATGAATCCCGTATCTTATCCGTCACAATACTTATAACTATCGATGCACACAGTTCTTATTATCCATATATGGTATACTTAACGCAATTACATTGTGTTAATTTCTCTTCCGCATTTATTTTATTATTCCGACCCGTTTTGAATTAATTTGAGCTTTAGAAATTAATATTTTTTACACATTTATAATAAGTCAGATAAATGTTAAATAAAAGTTTTTTAACTCTTTTAAAAAATGGTTATCCAATTGAGTTAATTTTTAGAGAAGTACAAAAAAGAATTAACAAACTCTCTACCACTAAATTAATTGACTCGAGCAATCATGATATTGATAATCAGGAAGTCATTGAGGATATATCTTGTAAAAAACTGTTCGTTGTACCATATATTCCGAAAGTTACAAATTGTGTCATATCAAATTTAAACAGGGATGTTTTTACTATAGGAATACGTTGTATTAATAAATTAAATATGTTTGTTAAGGTACACAAAGACAAAACAGACATAATGAGTAGAAATAATGTGGTTTATAAGATTTCGTGCAGGGATTGCGATGCTTCATATGTAGGCCAAACAAAACGAAAACTTAATACTAGATTGAGGGAACATGAGTGTAATATAAGGAGGAATTCTTCTAAATATTCTGTTTTAACTAATCACATGCTAGATTTCAATCATTCTTTTGACTGAAAAAATGTCAGAGTCATGGACACTGAATCACATTATAATAAGAGATTAATCTCAGAAATGCTTTTTATAAAGGAACAATACAATGGCATAAATACCCAAAAGGATACGGAGAAATTAAGCAAAACTTATTTTTGTTTGCTTGATAACGACCCTGACAATAATATTTGAATTTCTTTAACTGCCTTCTTAATGTTATAACTCGGTTCCTTCATTCTATTATCTACCATCACACTGTTATCATGTGCTCTGGAGTTTGCGTATATTGCATTGCATATTGTGACTTCTTTAATTGTATTTGTAAGTTTTTTTATGTTTTTTATACTTTTTATGTTATACCTTTACATATTCAACATTTCATTCATTTTGTGTTCATTAGATTCTTGAATTTAATTTATTCGTATGTGACACCTTCCTTTTTCGTTACTGAGCGGATAAAAGAAAGATATCATCTTGATGCTATAATTTGTTTGACTTTATTTGGATATACTGATTCTTTCTGACTACTTTGCATCATGCACTTTACATCATGCGTTTCTTATTGTTAGCGACATAGATTCTTTCTGACTACTTTGCATCATGCACTTTACAAAGTCATCTTTTAAAGCTTGTATATTACCGTTTAATCCTTTGTTTAAAACATAACAAGCGTTGACGTTTACGTAGACTGAAGAGGACTTCTATATGAGTCGAAACGTTTCGAATATTAAATATTATATTGAAATAACTTTACATTAATAAAAGTCATCTTTTAAAGCTTGTATATTACCGTTTAATCCTTTGTTTAAAACATAACAAGCGTTGAATCTTTACTTTATATTTTTATTTTTTTATTTTTTTTATTGTGGCGCCCCTGACATTTTGGCTCCCTAGGGTTCAAAAGTCTATAGGTTAAGCCCAGATCCTCATGAAGAATACCGACGCTTTGATACCGAGTATGATTGGTGAAAAACGGGTGAAAGGGATAAATTTTACTTCCATAACTCGTTCTTCACCAATCAGCGCTCAGTGTTAAAACGCCAGTATCTGCATGAGGATCCGGGCTAATGCGCTACTGGTTAGTACTGTCCTGATACAGAGCAGTATGGTCTCGGGATAAATGCGATCAATCACAGTGCAGCATTCACTTAGGGCAATCTTAAACTGAAGTAGCACAATAACACTGAATTGAGATAAAGTGAGTACTAAACAGTGCTATAAATCTATTACTTGTTTTTATCAATTCATGCAGAATATAAATTTTATCCGCCATTTTGATTAAATAAATCAAACTGCATTATCAAAAATTTTAGTACAATAAGATTTACTCTCATTCAATTAATTTCATTTTACTGAATATAATTTTAGCACTGCAGTTAGTGCAATT